GATTTAACAAGGTACTGGAAATATTCCTCAGAGATTTTGCTCCATAATGACATGATAGCATCACACAGTTGCTGCAGATTTGTCGGCTGCACATCCATGATGTGAATCTCCAGTTCCACCACATCCCAAAGCTGCTCTATTGGATTGAGCTCTGGTGACTGTGGAGGCCATTTGAGTACAGTGAACTCATTGTCATGTTCAAGAAACCAGTCTGAGATGATTCACGCTTTATGACATGGTGCGTTATCCTGCTGGAAAAAGCCATCAGAAGATGGTCATAAAGGGATGGACATGGCCGGCAATAATACTCAGGTAGGCTGTGGCGTTGACACAATGCTCAATTGGTACTAATGAACCCAAAGTGTGCCAAGAAAATATTCCAAACACCATTACACCACCAGCACCAGCCTGAACTGTTGATATAAGGCAGGATGGATCCATGCTTTCATGTTTTTGATGCCAAATTCTGACCCGACCATCCGAATGTGGCAGCAGAAATGGAGACTCAGAGCAGCAACGTTTCTCCAATCTTCTATTGTCCAGTTTTGGTGAGTCTGTGTGAATTGTAGCCTCAGTTTCCTGTTCTTAGCTGACAGGAGCGGCACCCGGTGTGGTCTTCTGCTGCTGTAGCCCATCCGCCTCAAGGTTGGACGTGTTGTGTGTTCAGAGATGCTCTTCTGCAGACCTCGGTTGTATCGAGTGCTTATTTGAGTTACTGTTGCCTTTCTATCAGCTGGAACCAGTCTGGCCATTCTCTTCTGACCTCTGGCTTCAACAAGGCATTTGCGCCCACAGAACTGCCGCTCACTGGATATTTTCTCTTATTCAGACCATTCTCTGCAAACCCTATATATGGTTGTATGTGAAAATCCCAGTAGATCAGCAGTTTCTGAAATACTCAAAGCAGCCCGTCTGGCAGCAACAACCATGACACATTCAAAGTCACTTTCTTTCCCATTCTGATGCTCGCTTTGAACTGCAGCAGATTGCTTGACCATGTCTATATGCCTAAATGCATTGAGTTGCTGCTATGTGATTGGCAGATTAGAAATTTGCATCAACGAGCAGTTGGACAAGTGTACCTAATAAAGTGGCCGGTGAGTGTATATTTCACATTTTTATATTTGTGAAATCAACGCATGAACTTCTAAGTATAATAAATTGATATCAGATTTCTAAATAGGTTGAATTGAACCTGGATGTGCAGCTGTACTGTTTTATTGGATGAAAAATAAATATATCGTGCCAACAATATAATATTTAACAATGACATTTCCCCTTCACGTTCAATCATTTCACTGCAATGAAAGGTCAGATCTTATGCTCAATAAAATAATAAAAAGCATGAACAATGTCATTCCCACTGCCTTCTTCACACAACATTTAACACTTTAACCACAAAATTAATTAACAAAACCAAACCAGAAAGTGTGTGTGATGTCATCAGCATGAACACACACACGCACGCGCACGCGCACACGCACACACACCATCTCACTAGTTAAAATTGATGATTTCTCTGAAATATTGACTTTTGGGATTATTTAAGTGCATAAGTCAGCTGAATATACAACACTCCCAATGGATTTTGTGTGTTTTCATTTAAAGAGTAGCTATTATGCCACATTTCACAAGGTATAAAATAAATCTCGTATGTCTCTAGAGTGTGTGTGTGAAGTTTCAGCTCAAAATACCACACAGATGATGTTTTAGAACTCTTTGAAACTGACCCTTTTAGGATTTGATCATAATTGTGCCATTTTAGTGACTGTCGCTTTAAATTCGAATGAGATCGTGCTCTTATTTCCCCCTATATTTACACAGTGCATCCATACAACTGTGTTTAAACCCCTTTTAAAATAGATTTTTGTATAAAATAATCGTACATATTGTGCCTTTAACCTCAAGTCACAGACACGAGGCAACAATCCTAGAGTGTTTTGGCTGATATAGTTATAACAACCTGTTGACATGATTTGATCTCATTACAAAGCAATCCATCCTCATGTGCGAGAAACGCCTGCTTAATACGAAATAACATCCTCACACTGTCCAGGAAGAAGTAACTAACAGTTGAATGTCAGCGTTCAGTCCAGCAATAGCAGCGTGACGTGGACGAGCGTGAGGAGGATTTAACCAGCAGCAGGTTAGTTGGAGATCTATTTCAGGACTGGATTTACACGTTAAAGACTGATCGAAATCCAGAGAAACAGACAGAGAGACGGTGTGTGTGTTTGTGTGTGTGTTTCACTGTACGCTGTATAGTGGAAACACTGATTTAATATGTTCATCTGCATATCATAACTGATGCTATGTGCTGCTTCACTTCATTCATCTTTAATCAGGGGTTTAGTGGGTTTATATTTACTCTCATGAATGCATCAGCCGCCTTTAAATTCCTGTAATTATGCCACATAAAATAGTGGATCATCATAATAAATATTGATTATTATTAAGTTTTAACTGCCCCATTAATAACATTCATTAAAAGACGTTATGCTGTACCAACAAATGTATGGTAATACATTTGTTGTTACAGTAGGTAGATAGATGGATGGACGGTCGGACAAAGGGACACATGGATGGATGGATGGATGGATGGATGGATGGATGGATGGATGGATGGACGGAAAGACAGACAGACAGACAGATAGATAGATAGATAGATAGATAGATAGATAGATAGATAGATAGATAGATAGACAGACAGACAGACAGACAGACAGACAGACAGACAGACAGACAGACGGACGGACGGATGGAAAGACAAATAGATGGATGGATGGATGGATGGATGGATGGATGGATGGATGGATGGATGGATGGATGGATGGATGGACGGAAAGACGAAAAAGCGGAAAGACAGACAGACAGACAGACAAATAGATAGATAGATAGATAGATAGATAGATAGACAGACAGACAGACGGACGGACGGACGGACGGACGGACGGACGGACGGACGGACGGACGGACGGACGGAAAGATAGATAGATAGATAGATAGATAGATAGATAGATAGATAGATAGATAGATAGATAGATAGATAGATAGATAGATAGATAGATAGATAGATAGATAGATAGATAGATAGATAGATAGATAGATAGATAGATAGATAGATAGATAGATAGATGGACGGACGGACAGATGGAAAGACAGATAGATAGATAGATAGATAGATAGATAGATAGATAGATAGATAGATAGATAGATAGATAGATAGATAGATAGATAGATAGATAGATAGATAGATAGATAGATAGATAGATAGATAGATAGATAGATGGACGGACGGACAGATGGAAAGACAGATAGATAGATAGATAGATAGATAGATAGATAGATAGATAGATAGATAGATAGATAGATAGATAGATAGATAGATAGATAGATAGATAGATAGATAGATAGATAGATAGATAGATAGATAGATAGATAGATAGATGGACGGACGGACAGATGGAAAGACAGATAGATAGATAGATAGATAGATAGATAGATAGATAGATAGATAGATAGATAGATAGATAGATAGATAGATAGATAGATAGATAGATAGATAGATAGATAGATAGATAGATAGATAGATGGACGGACGGACAGATGGAAAGACAGATAGATAGATAGATAAATAGATAGATGGACGGACGGACGGACAGACAGACAGACAGACAGACAGACAGACAGACAGACAGACAGACAGACAGACAGACAGACAGACAGACAGACAGACAGACAGACAGATAGATAGATAGATAGATAGATAGATAGATAGATAGATAGATAGATAGACGGACGGACAGATGGAAAGACAGATAGATAGATAGATAAATAGATAGATAGATGGACGGACGGACAGATGGAAAGATAGATAGATAGATAGATAGATAGATAGATAGATAGATAGATAGATAGATAGATAGATAGATAGATAGATAGATAGATAGATAGATAGATAGATAGATAGATAGATAGATAGATAGATAGATAGATAGACAGACAGAGACGGACGGACGGACGGACGGACGGACAGACAGACAGACAGACAGACAGACAGACAGATAGATAGATAGATAGATAGATAGATAGATAGATAGATAGATAGATAGATAGATAGATAGATAGATAGATAGATAGACAGATAGATATTGTTGGCACTACATTATAAATAGCCTACTGATTGACATGACAAATGACAACAAATATCATTGGGTTTTGTGTACATATTTTACTCACATTTAGAGATTGCTTGCAATAGTAAATGCATCTGAAAAATTATAATCTGATCTGTCTTTTATACACAATTTGAACATTACATATATATAGTTTTACTACATTTCAACTATTATACTGCAATACATGACTATTAAAATTCAAGGTTCATAGGTCTACATCAAGGTCAAATATATAGACAGAACAGTATACAGGTAAACAGTTTCCCCTGCTAGTAGCAATACTCTCTATAAAGCATCTAACAAACTCAATATAAAGTGTCTGATACTGTCACACTGCGGATCGGAAGTGATCACCTGACAGGTGAAATGTGACGACACAAACCGGACAAGAGTCGCTATTAATAGCGTCCAGTCGAGTTAATCTGGTCGTCCAGAACAGACGCGTTAATAACACCCCCCCACACACACACATTAAACAAGCTGCTATACAAAGGAGGATCTCCTCAACTTACATTCACACTCAAACAAACACAATAGTGATATAAAACATAATAAGTGTTAATCTTGTGAGCTATATGAGCATCTATAGTGCGCTCACGGTGCAGTTCACCTGCTCTAATCCTCCTCCTCCACACTTCATTACTAATTTACACCATCTGCTCTGATTAACAGCCACTTTAATGATTTTAAAGCACAGTTAACCCTCATTATGCTCTCCCTTTACGCTTTAACTCTATAGTAAAGTGAATTGCACTGATATAATTAACATATAAAGCAGCTTTTGCATATTAAAAATAAGTTTAATGAATTTTTGGATCTTACCTGTTTATCCTTCCAAGTGTTTTGGCCGCTACCGCTTTAAAGCGCTCAGGTCGGACCTCCATCCTTTACAACTCCACCGCGGGACCGACCAACCGACCGGGACACTGCGCGCTCCTGCTCTCATGCATGCGCACCAGCGCGCTTCCGCCCCCTTGCCACACACACACACACACGCGCGCAGGGACAAGTACGCGCACATACACATACATGAACTTCAGATGCCTAAAGCCCCGTTAATATCCCAGAATGCTATTAAATAAAAAAAGAAAGACATCTGGATATTAGGTCTCTAATAACGACAGCGACCTAATCCCTTTAATTGCCTGCTCTACCAAATGGTTGTCCATATTTTGACTGCTTTAAATGATGACTGTTAGTCATTTAAAGAATGCTTTAAATAATGGTTTATACACGGCATTGTTTGTTTACAAGAAAATCAATCATGATCCTGTTGCACTACACTGGATTTGAAATGAGAGATGTTAAATGAGAATCTGGAATATTTTACGGTGCACATCATAAAATAAAGATGATTTAGTGTTCAAACATGCTTTATGTTTAAAACATGGTCAAACAGTGTTTGGACTTTCAGCAGTGAAAATTAAACCACACTGAGCTGAAATAAACTGAACTTCAACTCTGAAAAATGGACTGACACTGTTTATATTCACTATAATCTTATATGCTCAGCTGCTGACACAATCTACTTTGTAAAAGTGCTATACAAATAAACATCAATTGAATTGGCTACAGGACAAACCACTGTTGTCCAATGACTTGCTGTTTTCCTATTCTCACACACTTTAATCTGTTTTTAATTATTTTTGTAGCTGTATTTTAATTTGTATTCCTGTAATTACTGTAATTAATATCTTTATTTTATTCCTGTTTATGTAAAGCACTTTGAGCTACCATAGTGTATGAAATGCGCTGTATAAATAAACGTGCCTTGCCTAGATAACCTAGTTAAGACTTGAAATGTCACTTTAAGCTGTAAGTATCTTGAAAAATATCTAGTCAAATGTTATGTGCTGTCATCATGGCAAAGACAAAAGAAACATACCCGTCAACCCTCCCGTTTTTCCCGGGATTCTCCTGTATTTTACAGTTCTATCCCACTATGATCCCATAAAGGTATTTTCCCATATTTTTCTCGAATTTTCAGTCTTTCTCTGCAGGATGGCTAAGGAACATTATAGAGTCGAGCATCCCTTTACGCAACCCATACAGCCGAACCACAAGGGGCGCCCCCTGCTCTTAAATGCGAGTCTGTTCTGTGCTTCCACTTTGTTTAGGCACGAAACACATTAAAATGAATATAAAAATGGTCCGATTCCCTTCCTTTTCATTAAAAGTGTCGTCTCCTCTTCATATACAATCCTCAAAGCAGTCATATAGAGGTGCGTGACTGTCAGCTGACGCGCTCCATATTGATAAACAGACGCTGTTTCCCAAACGGATTCTGTACACGCGATTTGAAGCGGAGCAGTGTTTAAACAGATATACACATAACTAATATTAATAACATCTAAAGATGTTGATCTTGGTTAGTTTTTTTTTTCAAACACAAGTAATTTCGTCCTAAATGAGCATAAACAGTAAGGAAAGCAGTCGAAGATGTGTGCATTTTTAAAGTGACACCTCTGTTATTTAATGTAATCAAACGAAAAAAAATCTAAATAAATCATTAATTCGTTGCTCTTTAATCAGAATGCGTTATACAGTGAAGAAACGGCTAATGAGATTTGATAGCTTGATTTTATTTCATTATAATAGCTATTAATTTTAATAAGCTGAACTGTTTGCTAGTTTATTTGCTGCTGATGCATACTATTTATTTTTTCTTTTGTAAATAAAAATAATAATAAAACATATTACTGACCATTTAACTGTTTATTTACAATGAAACAGCTCCAAATGAGCATATTTAGTAATTAGGGGATTTTTTAAAGGGGGTCAGGGGAATCCCTTATTATGGTGGGCATTTCCAATGTTGACAGGTATGAAGAAATTAGTCATGTTATTTTAAAATGATCAAAACTACTGTTTAAAATCTGTTTTAATGATAATTCTACGAGCCTAAGGACTGTACACTAAGGAAGACAAGTACAAAGAGATGTTCAGAACAATCAGTGCTCATGAATAACCAAAACATCTCCAGCCAATCAGAGTTCACCTTGCTTTAGAAAAAGCTTGAGGATTTAAAGTGGCAGACAGAAAAGGTGAGCTTAAAATAATAAAACAGAACACTTATCAACTATCACTTTATTAGCATCGCTTATGGACTATTAATCATCTGCAAGGCAGTGGCTATATGCTGATTGTTTACATGAACGGCCCCTCACAAACATTTCCCGCAATGACTTTCCCCCAGGAAAACCGATGGATCAATTCCTGGTAAAATGCCAGAACAAGAGGATAAAAGCAGCATTATTGAGACTAAACCTCTTTATTATCAGAGTTGCTTCAACAAAAACGCTTTAATAGAGTCAGATAAAGCGTGAGACTGTTTAAATGTTGTCGTATGCGTAGAGGTTTTCATGAGCATGTATGTAGTCTGGTGTCCGCGCGTGTCACTGTCCAAGGTGCTGAAATGGGATTAGAGTAAATCTGCAGGAGTGAAGAGCCGGCGTGCTCACACGATTTAAACCCTGTGTGTGTGTGTGTGTGTGTGTGTGTGTGTGTGTGTGTGATCCCTAACTCTTGCATACACGCTCACTTCCTGTCTTTTTTTAATCCACAAGGCGAGTAAAATGAGAGACATCTAGTGGACACAATATGCAACTACAAGCAGCTGGAAACTCACAAATCAGAGCTGTGAATGTCGGACTTGTTTTTTTGTTGGTCCTGGAACAACAGTCACACTAAACACACTCAATCCTTGCTATTAACTAAAGATGAAACAAGTCAGATATAACTATTTTACGTAAATTCGAAGTAGGAATGTCCATCTTATTTACAAGCAAACAATTGACCTTATGTTAGAGCAGCCGCTTTGAATGTTAGCCTATCACTGGATTAAATGGGTGTCCTCAGTGGTTATCAGCTGATAGATATGGGCCAGTAGGGGCCTTCTATGCCTATGGGTAGGCTCAGAAGGGTGTTATCATCCATCCATATGGTAAATCAGCTATACTAATAAAAGAAGACTCTCCAGATCAGATTCTACATTACTGAGATGGAAGGGTTTAGGGTTGGGGTAGACGTTAATAAAATACACTTAATAGGAAATTTAATAAACAATATTAATAATTATCACGGTTAATCAGCTATACTAATAGAAAAGACTCCAGATCCAGATCTGTTTCTACATTACTGTGATGGTCGGGTTTAGGGTATAGGGTAGACATTGATAAAATACACTTAATGAGAAATTTAATAATTACTATAAATAATTCTCGTTAACTTCCGGCCGCAGCTGTATGTGATCTATAGCTGAACCATGTGGATGGATAACAGTTTTTTGAGCCTACCAGTAGGGGCAGAAGGCCACTGATAGCCATTGATAATGGCCATTCAACCCAGTGATAACACTGGAATCGGCTGTCGGCTATCAGACATACTTCACATCGGTTTAGAAATCTGAGATGTGAATTGAACCTGAAGGTCAGTATTTGACAGTCAGATTAATGACAAACAAGTAAGCAAATAATTACTTAAAACGCGTTTTGGGAAGCATCATAAACCTGATTTTTTAGGATTAATAAGTCAGATTTATTATGATGAAAAAAAAAAGATGATAAAAAAAGTGGGACCTGCTTAAAAGTATTTAAGACCATTATCAATAAACCCAAAGCCCTTAACAGCATTGGAATCCTGCTAGAATATGTTGAATTTAATTCATTACAGGCTGATTGTGTAGCCTTTGCAGCTTTACCAGCTAGAGGACTTATTCTTATGAATTGGAAGTCAGCAGCTCCCCCTTCATATCGGCAATGGGTTTTTGATTTTTTACATGCTCTTACAATGGAAAAGACTCTTTTGGAAAACTAAAGCCACAACCATTCCAGAAAGTCTGGAGCCCTTTTCTAAAAGTTTTTCGGGAGGCACCTATATCTATATGCAGTTGAAGTCAGAATTATTAGCCCCCCTAAATTAAAAATTGCTTTTATTTTAGTCGAAATAAAACAAATCTACAGACTTTCTACAGAAGAAAAAATATTATCAGACATACTGTGAAAATTTCCTTACTCTGTTAAACATCATTTAGGAAATATTTAAAAAAGAAAAAAAATAATAATTCAAAGGTGGGCTAATAATTCTGAGCTCAACCGTATATATATATATTTTTTTTTTTATTTTACTTTATTTCTACTGTTTGTTTTATTCTTATTTTTGTGTATAAAGCATATGTGATATTTTACCCTATTATTTATATATGTATAATTATGTATAAATATGTATAATTATATTTTCCTGATAATTTCTTGTTTGGTGAATTGCATCAGGCAGCACAGTGGCGCAGTGAGTAGCAAGAAGGTTGCTGGTTTGAGCCTCTGCTGGGTCAGTTGGCATTTCTGTGTGGAGTTTGCATGTTCTCCCCATGGGTTTCCCCCACAAGTCCAAACACATACGCTATAGGGGAATTGGGTAAGCTAAATAATATTTAGGTTTTTGAAATTTAAGACTTTTTAAGACCCCACAGACACCATGGTTACATTAAAGACATTTATAATGATTTTCCTACATGTTTTATTTCAATTATTAATATTGATTTAATCAAAGAATCAGGAATGGGTCATAGATGAAACACAAACACACACAAATGTTTCTCAGACATCAGATCAGCACATTAGAGAGATTTCTTAATGACACTGAAGACTGAAATCAAATAAACGAAAAGGTTTAATGGTTGTAAATCTACTTGTAATTGTAGGAATGTCATTTATAAATCCAGAGAAACATAATTACCTAAATTTCCTACATTTTTGTCTAAAGCTGCCTATTCAAACAGAAAAGTGTCTTTAAATGTTCATATTATTTATTGCTCTTACTGTATGATTGTTTAAATAAAAGCAGCCCTGCTGAGCAGATGAGATGTTACTGTATACAGCATGATGAAATGTCTAATAGTGAGAGGTTTATAATCATTAAATATTGAAATAAGGCTATATTCAGCACATGAACTGATGCTGCACTGCTGTAAG